CGCCAGGCTTTGGGGGGATTTAGGCGTTTCAAGGGTTTGGTGGTTTTGGAGGGGGTCTAGACTTAGGAATTTTGAGGTCCAGGTATCTGGGGTTTGCGGGGAGAAAAGGGTTTAGGGCTTATAAACCCTAAACTATAGGGTCTCCTTGAGGCTAAGATGTCGAACTCTGGGTTTCAGCGCTTGAAGTGTACGCGCGTAGGGCTATGATATGAGCATACCGTGATATCAAGGTGTAGAAACGCAAGCAACTCAAACAGAAGAAGAGAATGAAAGATAAGGCAAGCACAAAACACACATTCATCTTCCTGAGTAAGGTGCCATGGGCAGCATATGACGGTGACTTATCCAGAGGGAAAATCTAGCACATCATTGTGATTTTTTTCATGACCAACTGGTTAACAACATGTCTCGTTCGTTCTACTCCTCCTTGGCTAGCCACAAAGCTCAACTGTTTTACTGGGCTTGGATGTAGCCGAAGCTTCATAAACCCTAAACTCGAACTATTCTACACAGAGCCCTAAACGCCTACTATTCTACCCTGAGCCTTGAACTCCCAACATTGTACCCTTAGCCCGCAGCCCAAACTTTTACTATTCTACCATACCCTAGACCGCCCCGTCCTGTTCTGTGAGCTTACGAGATTCCTGCCTGTCGCCAGCGCCAAATCCTGCAAGATGGCCGTCTTTCTCGCGCCGAAAGCTGGCGCCTGAATGGATTTCTGGGGGCCTTCAGTCCTTTCTGTGTGTATATAAACATATACATGTCTACCTACACATGTACACACACATGTATATATGTATATATATATATAGAGGGAGAGAAAGAGAGAGACACATATATATATATACATATATATATATTTGTAGTTGTATATATATATACACATATATACATGTCCTGGATCAAAATTATGAATCATAGTTACTTCAATGTCACCCCTAAACCTCTACACATCCCCTTTAGGTCGCCCCACAACCTAACTTTATTCCGTAGCTCTTATGAGTGTGTATGCATATCTGCATGTACATGTGTATACATATGTGTACACAACAATGGATATAGAGATACCAGTAGCATGAGGGGTTGTTGTAATTGATATAGCGTATGCATTCGATGTATTTGCTTTGTCCGGCCGCACCCCTCGGGTTTGCCCATCTTATCCGGTGTTCCGGTCTTGTCAATGAATACTTCTGTTAGCCCCCTCAAGGGTCCATTTACTTGATACGCATATGCATATACTGACCCAAACCTGTACTACAAATACTATGCCCTAAGACCTACACCCTAAGCCCCGCAAAAATCGCGAGTACCCAATGAATGGGCATGTGGACCCTCAGGGTTAGTTTAACATTGACCGCTTGAATCAACATATCCAGCTTTGTGAGAGGGGTTTAGTGTTTAGGCTTTACGCGCAAACAAAATCCAAACTACAGTAGATGCGTGCAACGTGACGGAAAAAAAAAAGGAATACATCTCAATTTTCATTCAACATGGAAGCCCCCAAGGGGCCGTACAAAGACTATTGTCCTTTGTGCAGGGGCCTAACGGGGCTCCTAGGCCGTATATGACCCCATGTTCCAAACTCTTCAGCTTATTAGCCTCCAACTCTACATAAGCCCATAGCCTCTTTGAATAGAAATGTACCTAATCCCATAACACCCCTTGCTGAACTATTGCTCACCCTCCTCTCGAGCCTGCGCAGCTCGTGCCCTCTGTTTGGAGGGCTGGGCCATCTTTGACCAGGGCACTCTTGTGCCGCTTCCGGTCCAAAAAAACCAAGCGCTGCTTTTGCTCTGCACCCCCTCCTAGTTCACTCTATGTTCTGGGCCTCCGGCCCCCTGTCCGCTCTCTTTTGCCCGGAACCTGCCGCGGAGGGGTCGATGACGCTTGCGGAGACCCTCTGAGATGCTGGGCGCGGAACGGTGTAGCACGGGAGCCCGCCGCAGGTCGACGTTTTCCTTCCTTCGTTCCTTCCTTCCTTTCTTCCTTCCATCCCATGGCACCATTGTTGCGGGCCCTGTCCTATCCGCTGAGAGGCAAACACGCTCTAATGGTTCCACGCATCAAAACTACACTGCAACGCCATCATTCCTTGACCCCGGAAGCCCAAATCCACCACCTTACAACCCAAAACCCCGGTCCCCTCTGGTTCAAAAAATCCTGCACCCTAGCACCCTGTAGACCATAGCACCCTAATATAGTTGGGACTTACTGGTTCTTAGTGGCAAGTAGAGGAGGATAGTATGAGGGGTGTATAAGCCCAACCCAATACGCGGTTTAGGGCGTAGGGCTTAGGCTCAAAAAAACTCAGCACCCTGAAGTTCTTCTAGCCCTGGCTTTGAGGACCAGAACCTTGATGTTCACACCATCCTAGGTTTTGTGTTGAAGGTTTAGTTTAGGGTTTAGGATTACCTGGACCCCAAAAGTATGTAAAATAATGGCATTCATGGCTATTATTATGGGTTTAGGGCTATTATTTTAGATACTTTTGGAGTTTAGGTAAGGGTTTAGAGTTTAGGGTCAAGGGTTTTAGGGTTGAGACCTTGAACCTCTTTCCACACCACAAACCCTAAACTCTCAACCATAAACTTGCTTGCTGGCTGTAAGCAGGGAAGAGAAAAAGACCCCTTTCGTCGACTTACATTTATTTCCGCGTTCATTTCCATTTCTTCACTCCTTACCCGCCGCCCAAAACCACCTAAAAATCCGCGGTGAGCCACTCAGCTACTAAACCTGAGAGTATACCCAAAACCCTAAAAAACCCAACCCCAAGCAAAGTACTTTTATGGGTCTCATGCCTTGATAGCGATGACGTCCAGGATGCCACGCTGCTTGTTGAGCACGAGCGTCTGCAAAGCCTGCTTGTAGAGTCTAGAAAGGAGTAGAGGTTAGGAATTACGGTTTAGGGATTTGGGTTTTTCAAGTTTAGCTTGTAGGGCTTACACACCGAATTGGTACCCAAAGCCCTAAGCCCAGACCGGAGCCCAGACGCTGAACCATTACCCTGGGTGTGTGGATGTAGGTTGCAAAATTGTGGGATTGGGCGGGGGGGGGTTGAGGTTTCCGTCCGTGGTTGGCAGGCGCTTTCTTTGGCGCCCTTTTTGAGACAAGACTCCGAAGAACGGGGCTACGAAGGATCCAGGGTTTAGGGTGCAGGGTTTGGGGTCGGGGTTTGGGGGTTGGGGTTTAGGGCTTAGGGGTTGGGTTTAGGGTCTGGTACCGGGGTTAGATTGAGTACCAGCCTCTAAACTCGCACGGCTCCACGACGCAGTTTCTAGTGCTAAAGAGGGCTGACTGCGCAATACGATGAAGGAGTACATGGGTTGCTTGCGCCTTCTTGCAGTGTAGGGTAAGGTGAGCGTTAGGGGTTGAGTTTAGGGGTTAGAAGCTACAAGATGATTGCTCTTGGGGAGCTTGTTCATTACTACCCTGTAGAATACCTAGGAGAAAACCAGCAATCTCCTGTAAAACCTATATAGACCACTTGGGTTCCTGATGTAACCCCTGTTTAACTCTCATGTCAGGTATTTTACTTGTGCCCAAACATACCCCCTTCATCCGTATCTTCTGCAGCACCCAAGTTGAGTTCGAGACTTCATACCCAGGCAACCTGATACCCCTTCATCAAGGAAAAAGGGGGCTTAAAGGGTTCAGGGCTTAGGGTTCAGAGGGTTGGGGGATCCTACCATCATGTAAGGTATAGTTCTCCTGAAGGTGTACTGGGAGAGTGGAAGGATTGCAAATTTCAAGCCAGGAGTCAGAGACAGCTGTTAAGAGGACAATGAGGTTCCTCTGAGCATGCTCGGCGTTTTCTACTTACACTGCAAAAGAAATCAGGCGCCCTGGTTAGTTCTAGCCCATCACCACACACCTTCCTGATGATAGCAGCGCGCATGCACTTGTCTACAACAGTCAGGAAGCGGTTCAAGCAATGCTGAGGCGTCTAAGGTTCATACTGTCTAAGACTGCGGTCGGGGCAGCAAGAGGGGGGGGGCACTCCCCGTAGTTAAGGAGTATTCCCTAGTGAAGGTAGGGCGGGGGTAGGGTTCCGGAGTTGAAGGTTATGAGGTGTGCAAATAGAGAGTTCTTATGGCACTAATCGCCATGAAACCTTGCAGCCCCACAGCCGCAAACGTGCAAGCTCTGAAATGCCTTTACCTTAAATAAATCCTCACAACGTCTTACCCAAGGCCATGGATCTACGCAGAAGCAAAAAGCATCGTGCTAATTTTCCATCTCTCCGGCTTTTTACTGCACACTGCAACAGCCAACGCCAAAAGTGTCATTTAGAAGTTAGAACTTCCTCGCCGATGTCCAGCATGAACAGAAATTATGTCTACGGACCGTCAGAAATAATGTAATGCCAACAGACAAAAAGCAACCGCAAACCTAATCTCTTTCAACCGCACACCCTGGTATACAAATGAAGTTCTCCAGGGATGAGGGGCCCCATACAGACCCTTCTACACACTTTACTCCTTATTATCAGGACTTCCATAGCGGAGCCCTAAACTTTTCAAAAAACTCCAACCCTAAACCCTACACCCTAATCATGCAATGTACATGGAGTTGTGCTAAAGGCCCCTGCACAGAAGCTATGTCAACCAACAAGGCAGCCTATCTTGTGGCCATGTTCGGGACGAGGTTTGGGTTTCAGGATTTAGGGATTAGGGCTGAGGGAGTACGGTTTAGGGTTTAGGGATGAGGGTTTAGGGATTCGTGTTTAGGGTCTAGGTATTTTGAACCACATACTTGCTGCCAGCCTCGCCAGTGACGTCGTCAGCGATGATGAAGATCGGCTGCTTGGTCTTCAACAGCTCCTTCCAAGGCATTCCAACCACTGAAAAAAATGGGGTTTAGGTTTGAGAGTGTAGAGCTTGGACTTAAAAAAACAGTGTTGAAAGTTGGAATGTACCTTAACCTCAAACCCTAAAGCTGAAAGCCTACACTGAAATAGAACTTTTAATTTAAAGGTCTTGGGATCGGGAGTTGTGGAATGATGGTGCGGCCTTACCCAGGTATGCTCGGGCTAGGAGTCCTGTTCACTTTTTTTTTTCAAAAGTAAGGGATCTCTTTTTTGGGGAGTGCCTTGCAAGGATCCTCCCATGTTGGGACACCAGCATTTGGCTGTGGAAAGCCGCGGTTGTGCATCCCAAGAGCAAATGGCGAGTCCACTACAGAGGCTTTGTCAACGCGCCCTAAACCCAAACCCTGCACCCTGAATCCCTAAAGGTTTAGGGCTTAGAGCCCCTGGCTGGCCGGCAAGTACTTGGAGAACGTATTGGAAGTATCTGCTTGCAAATGCTGTGGTTCTGGCCCCTACAGACCCTCCTGGTGCGAGGTATGTCTGTGAAGTTGGCTGCGGGAATTTGAGACACGGCTTGAGCGAAGGCACCCTAAACCCCTAAACCCTAAACCCCTAAACCCCTAAACCCTAAACCCCTAAACCCCCTGAACCCCTCCATTCCTCCAACAGAGTGAGGATGTCGTAGGCATCCGATAGCTTCTGGTCCGTCACCAAGACTCGTGGCCTCAGATACGGTTTAGGGTTTAGGGTTTAGGGTTTGGGGGGACCTTCCTTGTACCCTTAATTGGGGATATATGGTCCCTAATAGTGGGTGCTTAAGCCCTAATAGAGGGTAGGAGGAGGGTCTAGGTTCAGAGTTTAAGTTTTAGGGGGTTCAGACTTTTCTGTGTCATTCAGAATAATATCAATTCTCAATTTGAGGCCATTTTGGCACTATTCTCTATATAAAACAAACATTTTGGGTGAGGTCGGTCGGGTGAGGTCACTTCAGATTGCCCAAATAGTTTATGCTCCCAACCAGAATGTTCGTATTGCCGTTTAGGGTTTAGGGTTCGAAGCGTAGGGCTGAGGGCTTGAAGTGCTTAGGGCTCAGGATTCGGGGATTCAGGCAACTTGTCGAAGCTGATCTGGAAGGTTCTGACAAAAGCGGTTGGCTTTGGTAGAGCCCAACGCAAAATTCTAGTTTGTTTTTGGTGTGGTGAGGGGGGGGGGGGAGTTAGGTGGGGGGAGTTATATGTTAGGTTAGGCCCGGGCACACTGATGCAACTACGAGCGTTCATGGTAGTTATATATATGTACAGATATGATATTACTATACCACTATAACTAGATTAGGGCCTAGCCCATAGTATATGAGAATTTTGATGTCCTTCAGACAAAACATCCTCGAAGGGACAGCAAGGGCGCGTTCTGGGTTTACGGCTTAAGCCTCATACCAGGTATGTTCAAAAAGTGTGTGTGGGTGTGTATATATATATATGATATTATGAGTCCCCGACGCACCGGGATTTAGAGAACATACTTTTGAATGCTAGCTGCTAGCTGCCATCAGCTTGGAAAAAAATGGTGCTTCAATTCTCTAACCCCGGGGTCTTTTTTTTTTTGAGCTGGCCCTTCAAAGGAGATACTGGCTTTTTTTTGTTGATTTATGAGCTGCTTTGTGGAAGCCTTGCACTTTTCCTTGGGATGTACACATTTGGGATGACAGACTGGCAAAGTGATGCGAGGCTAACCCCAGAATTCTTTGGTGTTTAGGGCTGTTGTACCTGCAACTACTTGCTATCCATATGCCGCGCAGCACACAGATACAAACTTTTGCAGTAGCTGCTTCTTTTGCAAGGGCTACTGCCTTTGACAGAAAGCACGGAAGCTATCTCAGATGATTGATGCAGTAAGCTACACATCCAACAAAATGCAACTCAAAGCGTGGCGCAGTTCATGACCGAGCATTATCTTGAAATTGTGGTGCAATCCTCTCCTGGACTCCTCACTGCAAGACACCTGGATTTTGTTGGAGTCCCAGATTGGTACCTCCCCCAGATAGTACAAGAAAGCTCCTGAAGGTGGCATAGGGCGACAGTCAGCTTCTGCCTCATCTTGCAACACACTGCTCAATCACAGCTCCCGACTTTTTGAGTTCCGCAACCAAACGCTGCGCGTCTGTGACGAAGTAGGGCGAGATGTAGCCTGATACAAGCAACACCGCTTCAATTACTGGTGCTCAAGGGGGGGTGGGGGGGAAGATTCGGGGTTCTGAAACGAGAAGTCGATGGCGGGACTCATCGGAGCCATATGAGGAGGCCGTTTTTAGGGGTACGACCTTCAAAGGTACCTCCGATCTATGCAGAGTTCAGCCACTAAATTGTGCCTCGCATGCCTCTACGGGTCATCAAACATAGGCGTCTTTCATCTCATATGACAATTCAGGGGGCGGGGGGCAGGGCCATGAAACACGCCTCTTCGCATGGAGCCCTATGAAAGACTGTCTACTGTTGGAGAATAAGGAACGAAGAGATCCATATAGCAGCCCGTATATGAGCTACAGTCAATATTTCCCGGATCAGGAGTGGACATGGGTTCGTTATTAGAGATGAATTATGTTAAGGACTATACTAAGCACTACCAGAGGGACACCTATGTCCACTGTTAAGGCTTCCTAATAAAACCAATATGGACAGTGGTCATGTAATTCTCATTGGTCTCATTGCAGACATAAACTATAGTGCAAACTCCTAGTATCCCCTAGTAGCCCCTATAGTACTCCCCCCCAAAAAAACCCTACATAACACCCTCTAAGGAGTTTAGACTATAGCTCAGATGAGGGCACAGGCCCGCCCAAGTTGCAGTGGGAATCACCCTTCACTATGGATCTCGCCGATAACCCAGTGGGACCCCAGATTTTTGAACATCCTAAATCCCCAAACTCCAGAACCTAAAGCCTAGACACCCCCTACAAGCCCTAAAACACTTCGAAGCCTAAAGCCTAAACCTTGATCCCGTGCCCCCGCGGTGGTCACAGTTGAATGCTTCCACAAAGCTTTCACGTTGAACATGTGAGAAAGCACCCCCTGAAGATCTAACGACTGAAATGGCTTTAGAGGTTAGCCATGCGTGGGGTTTAGGGTTTACGGTTCTCAAGAATTGGGTTCCCTTTTGGGGGTCCCCCTGGTTAGGATAACAATGTTTTGGGGTCAACGATTATTGGTGTCCCCCTTTTTAGGGAAACTACCATATTACTAACTTGCATTCGGTCATCGGGGTGTCTAAGTGTCCCCCGGGGTCTCTCTTGATGCGCCCGCCCCTTGTACCGGAGTCCTTATCACAGGAACACCTCCGAAAACAGGACCCGTAATGCTCTTTGTATCGACTGACTGGAATCGCTCCTTTAAAATCCCTACTGAACACCCACAGAACCTCTGTCTGTGTAAGTCGCATTTATCCCCCCTTTCCAAACCCCAACCCCTGAACCCCATGATATGCCAAACCACGAAAACTGAACCCAAAACCTGGTAACCCCCAATGCCAGCCCAAAAAGACCTATACTTGCTAAGTTCGTGTTGCCAAAAATCATAATCCATGAGCTTTATGAACCCCTAAACCTTAGAGCCTCAGGCCTGCGTCCTAAACCCCAAGAGCCCAAGCCCTTAGCCGAGCCAAAAGCGCTAAAGCCTGAAGCTCAAATCCGAATTGCCACTAAACCCTGGGCCCTACTACAGATCCTTAATTTTGTGCATAAAGTGTTACAGGTATATAAAAAGTATCTAAAGGACCAGGATTAGGGGATGTATACTGGATTAAGGGCTTAGGGTTCCTAAGCCCTAAGTGTCCAAGTACTTAATAATCATATACTTGCCCAAAACCTGTACTAGATTTACTATTACCCAAAAACCAAATACCTAATCATTGGGTACAAGGACCCTAAACCCTAAACCCTATATACCCCTATATATCCCCTTTAAAGGGACCTAATTATTGGGTACATGGACCCTCTGGGCAAGCCCTAAACCCTAAACCCTAAGCCCTAAACCCTAAACCCTAAGCCTTAAACCCTAAACCCTGTAAACCTTAAGCCTTAAACCCTGTCTGCACCGACCTCGGTCGAGGGTCAGGCCCTCGCTCACCTCCACCTTCAGGTTTTAGGGTTCAGTGCATAGGGCGGGGTTTAGTGCTGGGTGTAGGATTTAGGGCTTAGGGTTTCGAGTTTAGGGTTTGGGGTTTAGGGTCTGAGGTTTGGGGTTGGTGCTTTGGGCTTTGGCGTTGGTGTTTAGCGCCCTCCTGAGGGAATATGGTGACTTCCACACACTAAGGGTACCAGTTTTAGGCATCCATTTGATATGCATTAAAGTCAAGTATTCTGGGGCGTGTAATCGGGAACCTTGAGCCCTTGAGAGTACGGGCATGGAGAAGTGGCCAAATAGTGATGTATTCCCTGGCAAGCCCTGAATCCTAAACCATAAGCGCTAGACCCAATTAAGCTCAACCTGGTTGTCCAGCACAAACCCCAGAGAGGGGCTTATATGAGCTATTGTCTAAACTCCTAGTATCCCCCTTAATAACCCCTATAGTAGTCCCCTATATAATCCCCTACATAACCCCCTTTGAGGAGTTTAGAGTATAGCTCATATAATTGCGTATGTACCATAATAATGCAAGGCACCTGCGAGCATCATATTGATCATTGTCGGTATTATGCGCCCTAAGACCCTCAAATCTAAACCCTATAAACTCCCTAAACCCTACGTAAACCCTAAACTTTAGAATTGCGGGCTAGTCCGTCTGCATCCTGAGGGCGCAAAAGTTTACATATTGAAGATGCTATAGGCAGGAAGCGTATGTATGTCTGATAACCCTTGGTTATGGGGGGGGTTGCCTAAATTAAGGGTACCTTTTTGGGGGCCCCCACAAGGATTATATTACATTGGGGTCTATATTGGGGTCCCACATTTTTGGAAACTACCATTAGCTACCAATCAAACAAAATCCGTTATAGTTGAGTAGAATCTTGTTTCCTTCGGCATGCGGTTTAGAACCCGTCTTGACTTTCACTTAAACCCTAAACCGTAAGCCTTAAGCCCTAAACCCTAAACCCTAAACCGCGGTTGAAGCCTTAGGGGACCAATGCCTCGTCTTCCAGCACCTGAGACTCCTCGATCACCTTGGGAGATCAGTTGCGGTTTAGAGTCTAGGGGTCAAGACCTCAAGGGCTTTGAGCTTTAGAGTCAAGGGGCTAAGGGATTAGGATTAAAGGTCTAGGAGAAGGCGTGGATTTAGGGAGTCGGAAATACCACTAAGTTTAGGGTTCAGGGATTCGATTTCATCGGAATCTAGGATGGCTGTCTAGATTCCTGGCTTTACGTGTAAGGTCTGAAGTCCCTAAACCCTAAACCATGAAACCTAGTGCCTTTGAAAACAAACCCTAAGCCCTAAGGGCCCATGTAGGAATACAAGCAGCTATGGGTTTGCTGTTGTGTTTAAGGTGCCTCTTTTCCTCCCATCCGGCGGTTAGAAATGCTCGTGTGAGCAGGCGCAGGCGGGTTTAGAGCTTTGAGTTTAGCGGTTTAGCGTGTAGTAACACAGGGGTCATGCCGGGCTTTTTCATATCAACAGTATTTCAACCCTAAACCCTAAACCTAGTTCAGGGGTCAAAAAAAGCTTGCGATGGGAAGCTTTGCCAGTCCAGAAGTGCTAGAAACCAAGGTCTTCAACGGGCCATCGTGTTTAGTAGGTTTAGGGTTAAGGGTTTAGGGTACTCAGTACACCGAAAGAAAAGTGGCTTTTGCTGGGCAAGGCCGTCCCTGGATTCACAACATCTTCATCTTGCAGTAGTATCGGCTTTCCTGCATGTAATCCTGTCTGCAGAATATAGCCCTAATTTAATCCCAATATAACCCTAATATAACCCCAATATAATCCCAATGTAACAGTAAGAAGCAGAATGATGAAATTGCCATGGGAACCTCAGATGAACTCGCACGGTTTGGTGTCTGGTGCATATTTTTGAAGTTGTGGAAGGGGCTGTGACGAATTCCTGTTGCGATGCCATATCATATCCACACCCGAGTACTATAGTATGTGGCCCAGGGGGGTGAAATCTCAAGATTCGGCCAACATTATCCTCAAGATCCTTCTAGGTAGGAATAGGACGAAGCGCGATTTCGATTCAGAATAAGAAAATGACACTATGGCATATTACCTGGCTGTGGATTGGGTTACCGCTGCTCAGCCCCTAAGCCCTACAAGCCACTCTGATAATATGTGAGCTATAATCTTAACTCCTAGTATCCCCCTTAATAACCTCTAGAATACTCCCCTATATATTCCCCTATATAACCCTTTTCAGGAGTTTAGACTATAGCTCAGGTAGCCCCAGGACGCCCTAAACTCTCAACCATGTATAGAACCAGGTATGAGCTCCTAAACCCTAAACTATGATCCATAAACTACAACACAGGCCCCGAGGACGAAATGATTAAAGTAGGGTTTAGGGGTAAGGGGTAAGGGTTTAGGGTTAGGGCTTAGGGTCTAGAGTTTAGGATTTTGGGGTACAGTAGACTATAGCCACATAATTCAAAAAGGGGCTTGAATTGGTGAGCAATTAGGCTGCTACATTACCTTTTTACATTACCTTTTGAGAAATCCTTATGTCTTCCGAGGACCTGGCAACATTGCCCGTGTCACCCACTCTTTCGAAAGCCTGGCGCTTCTGCAAGAGCTTGTCACGGACCAGCCAGGTCGGAGAGTTTCTGAAATTGGGATATTCTCGCAGCTATGGGCCCCTGTTGGTTATAGATTATATTATGGCACCGAATATTCAGGGGTACCAAAATACAACCCGACCCTCATCTGGGGAACTACCCAAGTGGGGTGCCCCCTTGGGGATCCGACTTTGTGGGAGTATTGGGGGAGGGGTCTGTGGATGCAGGAAAGCTTGCACCACTTAAGGCAGCTACAATGCCGCAATTCCTGAGGCTAGAAGGTATCAAGGGTGGCATTTTTTCCCACAAAAGCTTTGTTTAGCGCACATGTGTTGCGGACGAGTTCATAGCAGATCTAGTCCCCCCCAAGAATGTGGTCTGGAGGATATCAGCATGTCGCTGCTCCAAAGCCCATGGATCAACTTCCTGAAAAATGGGCTCTTCCCCCCCTGACTCTGCCGATGCTTCAGCCCGGTTTGGGTTTTGAAGGCTTGATTAGGGGTAGTTGTGGTCAATCTAACGACTGAATTCAGAGGAGGTCTTCTTTAGATACCCTATACCGTAATTATAAAACGAATCTAGGAATATGATATTGGTGTTTCTCCTTATAAACGACTAGAGTAGCCCAGTGGCCACTGTGTTTTCTTTTTGTTCATTTGATGTTCCGTTCTTGGGGATAATAAAGCCTAAACTCTCTTCGCGAATAGGTCCTGAACGCGGATTCGACCGAAGGCCGGACGACCGAAAGCTACATATTCTGGCTTCTGCGCTGCTTGGAGTGTCAGGGAGACCGAGCCCTTTAACCCTAAACCCTGGGTTTAGGGTTTAGGGGGTAAGCTATGCGAATGGCTGGGGCCATTCCAGGACCTGTAAAGATCCAAAGCCTCACCAAGTCCCCCCGACCCTCCAAACAGTGTAGAAGCCAGGATGCTTTCCAACATGATTCTCTCATAATCTTGGCATAATGATAGTATACTGCACACCGAAACTTTAATCAACTTGGTTAGGCCTACATTACAGCCCCTATCTATAAATCCCTACAGAAGCTAATTTTAATGTTCGCTCTTCTTTCCCGATTGAATCTCCACTCTTCGTTTTCCCTACACTAAGCCCAACTCCCCGAGCACTTCATGAATTCCATCTTCAAGCCACTATCTTGGATGAGGTCGGGTGAGGTCGTTATAAGCTGCCCAGTCGAGGAATGTTTAAAATACTCCGTAACCCAGAACTCTAACCCTAAGCCATAAAGCGCTAAACCGTCAAACCCTAAACCCAGAGCCTAAACTCACATTGTAGTGGCTGCCAGTCCTTCCTTTAGCACCCCTGATCCCTGATCTTGAAGGAACCCCTTGCCAGGTGAGCCCAATACCCCTTAATTAGAAAACATTCCTTGAAACATTCTAGGGACCCTACCCTAAACCTTAAACCCTCTCTGAATGAAGGTGTTTTGCTTAAACCCTAAACCAGAAACACTTCCTTAATGCTCTGGATGGAGAAGTCCAATAAACCTATCGAAACCAAGTACAGTCCCCGCACTGCAGGCTGGTAGACTTGTATAGGTGTTAGGGCCAAGTTTGGGGTTTTGGTTTTAGGGTTCTGAATTCTGCTACCCACCTTGCTTTTCTCTCCACCATAAGGTTGCCCCTTGATTTCCTAAATCCTAACTAAACTTCCTAAACCCAAAACCCAAAACCCTTCAGGGGGAAGCTTGAGCGGTAGCATAGAGAGGGGGTGGTTAGGTAGCTTCAAACATTATCCCACGGGGTACCCCAATTACCTACACGGTACACGCTTGGGCCGAAAAAAGAGGGTTCCAGACAAATAGGGTTTAGAGTTGGGGCCCAAATTTATCCCAAAATGTACCTGGATTTTCTTTTGGAATTTCTTGTTCAGGAAATCCTTCCAGTTCGGGTGACAATAACTCTTTAGTTTGGGTCGCAGGGTTTTCAGGTACAGGTCAGAATGGCATCCATGGAACTTGATTTCTCTAGATTCTATACGCAGTTGGAACGAGTCTTACTTGTATTGTTTGTTGGTTTTAACCTAGATGTTAACAGAGGAAGCTGGCTATGCCAACTTCCCGGCCAAGTCCACCCTAAACCCTAAACCGCATCCTACGGTTGTACCAGTCAGTTTGCTAGCTCTACATATTGATGGCCTACTGACCCTATGATGCGGTTAAGGTCTGGGGTTTCAGGTTCAAGTCTCAGGGTTCAGGATTCCTACCAACAACGGGATTTTCACTTAGTGCTTGGGAGAATGCAACAACTGGAGCATAAACATATGTTGAAAGTAACGTTTGAATGCCTCCAGACGACTCTTATGACAAACTCATAGGTCCCGACTGGCTTTGGCACCTGAAGGCACCGACACCCTGAATTCTGGATCCCTGCGCCCCCAAAACTGGAAATGCGGGCTCACTGACGCCGGTTCTAACATGATTGGCACTAGCCTTCACGCGGGTCTAGTGTTGAGGTTTCAAGGACTGCCCCATGAAAAAGCCAACTGCATTAAAGGAAATCCTTCCAGCACATGCGCTCGGACTCCAAAAAACAAAGCACAGCTTGATAGGGGTTAGGGTATGTGGCCTACTCTCAGAAACATGGGCCCCTTTAGGTTATAGAATATATTACGGCACCTAATTTTTAGGGGTACCCAAATCGGACCGTAATTTTTGGGAATTTCCCATGTTCTGCACACCCTGGAGTCTCTCTTTTGAGGACGTCTGCCCCACAACCATCAGAGCAAGCTCAAAATTCAGTCCCAGAAAAATCACAGCACGAAATCGCAAAGTCCAAGTCCTGGATCTTGAAATCTCACCAATCCCTGAACCCTTAAACCATGGGCCCTGCGTCCAAAGGTGTAAGGCGTAAAGCCTCAACCCTAAACCAAGATCCCTAAACTTTATTTTTGTCCCTGAACCCTAAACCCTTAACCTTTAGCCCTGGACCCAGGGTCTCCAGTCTGCCGCTGCCTGGGAGATCTTCGACCCCATGCCCTCATCACCGCCAACCGAGACAGTTGCGATGTCTAACAGGGCTCAGGGTTTAGGGCGCAGAATGGGGTAAAGCTCGGGCTTGGGGCCAAACCCAGGGCAGTGGGAGGTCTAAAAACAAGATCCTTGTCAAGTTCCTGGAAATTACCCAATGGTGGTATCATATTGGTGCGTTCTACTGTCGAGATCCTTCCAGGGTCTGGTAAGGATGCATGAGGAATCGAGGGGATCGAATTTCGCCTCCCTAAGGATTCTATAGGTAAAGAGAATTTTCATGTGGGTTACCAGGTGGGTATCCTTGCAGAGGGCTTCTAAAGGGCTTATATGGGGATCCTAGAAGTATACAACTGCAATGTAAGGCTTGTATAAGAGGGAAACTACACACCTGAAATTTCTATAGGGTGAAATTTCGGAATGCAGGAAATGCCGTTCGAAAGTCTTGGAAGGGGTTGTCTTTAGGGAACCTAAGATTCCCCCAATCCTTCCTGAACTTACTGTAGTGGCCTCAAGAAACTTCCAAGGTCATTTTGAGATGGATTTGAGGTACCATATACACATATACTACATCTAGACAGTCTAGACTCAGATAAGGAAGCTGGAGCCATGATACCGGCAGTTGCTTCAGTTCTTATACAGTAGCTCCCCCCCCCTTTCCCATAGCTTCCTTTTGATCCAGGGTGGTGTGAGGAGGATCAGGATTAACGTTCATGAGCAGGTGGTATGGAGAACCCATATTGAGCAAGGTAGGGCTTCGATAGTCCCTCACCCCTACACCCTAGCTTGACTAACCCCTTCCCCTAATACACCTGAAGAGTTACATCGTGATTAGGGGGAGCATTCATTATTAGGGGGTCCGGGTGGTTGTGGTCAGGGGGAGGGTGATTACGGCAATACGACAGCACCACGTGCCAAACATTTGAGTTGGGTGCACATTGTTTTGGATGTGTACCCACTCAACATATCCACAAACATGTTCCACAAACTCTCTTTGGCAAGGCCCCAAAGGCCAACACAGTTTTGTAGGTGATGGAAGAGCCTTCTCAAGAACAAAAGCACCTCGGGCAGCTAAGCAAAGTACAGTGTGGGGGTGGTGTGAGTAGAGGAACCCATGATAACCCGGGAGTTTCGCAACCTAATTCTTATAGAACCTGTGCAAGGAGGGACCCCCATAAGCCTGAAGTAGTTCCAACATCTTCCAGGTGTCCCTGAATTCCACTGAATGCTATGAATCCCAACAAGTCTTTAAAAGACTCAGCACGCCTCTTTCTTTGAGATCCCCCGCGCACTATGCCATTAATCGTTATAACCCCCTTCCCTGCAAGGAGCCTATCCTCTGACACCACATGTTCCGTTGGGGTTTAGGGTTTCGGGTACCAGGCTCACCACCCAGGCACTAGCCACCCACTGTTTCCCCCCTGACGTGCCTTAGCTAACCCTGCTTTGCCTCAAGCAAGGTTAGCCAAGGGGAACCTACTGCTAGTAGTATGGGTGTGTTGGGAATTCATGATAGCCGAAAACAACACCAGATCAGCCTTTGTATCCCCACATGAGTAACAACAATTTTTTGGTGATTAAACCCAGCAAGATTACGGTCCTCATAAAGAATACCATGCCCTATAATCTTACTCTATATTGGGTACCATGATATTATTCACGGACATCAGTCGGTCATGAGATTCGAGCGCTGAACGCTTTAAAGGCTCCTCCAATAAAAATCTAGAATAAGTTAGAGTCGGCAAACAATAGTGCTGGGATCTCTGAGAATCTCATTGCAAGCACGCATCATGTCCTGAAACGTCTCTTTTGGCAAGAGAGTTGGCTGACAACAGTTTCTGTGATATTTTGTGGAATTTGTATGAACTTCATTTGATTGGAGCAAGAAAGGCAAATGGGGATATCACCAGTCCAGACAACTTGAGGCAAGTGTGGCAAGCCAGTAAGGCACGCACGATGCCTCAAGATGTCTGGCGATGACTCTCTGCACCGAGAGGAAAAATTTCTGTTGGCACAAGAATTGTCTTTTGGCAGATTTGGATGGAGAGATATGGGCTTTGATATCCATCTCATATTCAGCCAGAAGGAGAGTGGCTTGGCTGCATCTGATCTGACAGTCATTTGCAATGCAGAAATGTCCCATCTTAAAAGTCGGTTTTTTCGTCCGCATCTGCCAATCCAAAGCGGGCTCAGAGGATCACCCCTAAGGACGGATCTAGCGTGTGTAGGGAAGAGGGCAGTGAATTGTACCCAATATCGCCAAATAACGTACTACTCACATGGAGATTCGTGGGCAGCTGGCGAGTCACTGAACTTTTTTGTTATCTGAACCCCAGGGCTGAGGGTTTAGGGTTTGGGGTAGCTACCCCAAACCCTACACATAGCTGATAGCTGAATCACTATGAGGCTTCAAGCACAACCACTGGCACGGGAGTCTCTCAACATGATCGCTGTGCCCTCCGTAAGGGGCCCCTATACTCCCCTCATGATCTCCACACATTCCTAAACTCCCTCAGGATGTCCCTGCTTGAGAGAGAATCCCAAATGCTTGCACACCTAAATCCTAAACCCGATGCCCCTAGACCCTATGCCTTAAAACCCCTATACCCTAAACCCCCAAGCCTTAAACTTCTAAACCCTAGAACCGACCATTGAGACCCAGATACCATTTCATTTTCCATCTGCTTTTCCATCTGATTCTCCACTATAGGTAAAATGGCCTTGGACCTTGAACCCTCAACCCCTAAAACCCTGCTCGGCCTTTGAGGTCGCCACTCTTCACTGGCTTTGCCAGTTGCTCGACCTACGCCCCAGGCAGGGTAACGTCTATAGCCAGGCCAGAGGTCCATATAAGGGACTGAAATGGTTCAGGATTGAGGGTTTCCCAAAATTAGAGGGTACTCTTGTGGAGGGTCCCATAAGAAGAATTATTATATACATATATACATATGTATATATATAGGGGTTCATTTATTTAGGGAAACTACCACACAAGGGACAACGGAAATCTATTTAGGGTCTAGGGTTTATAGGTTTACGGCTTATACTTAGGGTTGAGTGTTAAGGAGATTCTGTGTCTCCTCCGTGGCATGAGCTATAGTCTCAACTCCTAGTACCCCCCTTGATAACCCGTATTGTGCTCCTCTATAGAACCCCGATACAAGCCCCCTCCAAGGAGTTTGGACTATAGCTCGCATGATCTCGTTCATCACGCGTATGCACAAGCATGACTCATCCCATTCAATCCGTGGACCCTGTCTCGTTCCTGGAGAAACGCTCGTCCTGTATGCCAAAATACTGACTGGGCTACCCCAAACCCTAAACCCTAGCTTTCTGTGCTCTTCTGCACAGAAAACGGCACGCTGCACATGCAGGTATTTCGTGTAGCCTTCAGGGTTCAGGGTTTACGAGCCACTGCAGGAATATGTAGGCTTAAGGTGAACGTTGGGATGAAAGGTTTAGGATTTTTCCAGTTCTCGAACATTTGTTGCAGACCTTCCTTGAAATTCTACAGTTTTTGGTGCGCCCAAAGGGCCACTGAGTGCGATTAAAGGATCACTGGCTTAAACAAAGTCTCACAGCTGTTCAGGCCGCGTTTCTGATGGCACGTTACGAAACCATATCCTCCCACAAAGATGGACCCCGCATAAGGGCGCCTTCTAGAGACTAGTGTCTCTGAGAGGTTCAACGTTGTCGGCGGAAAGGCACTACACTTCCAAACTCAAAACCCTAGCGAGCTCATGGGCTCGCCCCGGACCACAACACACAATAGTAACTACTTCCCCCTGATATCAAAACCTCCAACCCTCCAAATGCATCACACGTTCCCTATAAATCTTAGCATACGACAGTGGGAATATCTTGTATTAGAGTGGTATAAGTGGTATATTATAACTTTTTGGGAGTATTGAAAGTTAGGGAAAGGAGGTTATATTCGGTGGAGGGGAGTACGAGGTTGAAAGCCTGTACCTTCAGAGCATGTGAGCTATAGTCTAAACTCCTAGCGTCCCCCTTAGTAACCCCGCATAAGAATCCCCTATATAATCTCGCATATAAGCCCCCGTCGAGGAGTTTAGACTATAGAGCATGTAGAATCATGGCCTTTCGACAATTGTTAGGTGCTTGGCCATCGATTTACTGATTCTTGGCGTCCAAGCAAACTTAAACCCTCATGCCCAAACCCTACACCTACACCCTAAACCCTAAAGCCCAGACCCTTAAACCCTAATGCCCAAACCCTACCCTTTGGGGATTTGGAGTTTAAGGGTTTAGGTTGGGTACTGCCCCCCCTCAGTAGCAGTTGGATACTAATTATAATATGGTTATATATAGCCCTTAAAAGGACCCTTAATATAGACTGTTACTNNGGTTTAGGGCTTAGGTCTTTAAACCTCAACCCCCCCTCCAAACACCCTGAAGTCCGAGAGCCTCCGAAGCGATGAAGCCAGCCGCTGCCTGCAACGAGGGATGCTGGAGACAGTCACATTGGGTGGTTGTCAAGACTTAGGGTTCAGGGTTTAGGG